CTATACACTTAATGACATGGGTCTAACTCTCTTACCATATCATTGTGGGTCAAGGTCTAAGAAATATAAGAACATGTTTCTAATTGTGAGTGTTGATTTCTGACCTCACAACTAAACATATCTCATTGCCAAGATCTAAGGAACTTAGTCGTAGAGCATACAAAAGAATAGATTAAGCCCAACACCTGTACATAAAAAGACAAGAAATACCATGGTGGCTCGTTTACCCGGGGCACTCCGACGATCAAGTGAGTCACTTATCTCACAAAGGTATCGGCACAATGCAGGGATACTGTCACAACACAAACCCGCCCCTATAGGTTTAGCATCATAATTGGCCAGTAATCCTTGGATTACCGAAGGCCTCAGAACTGATTAGCAAAATTAAGGGGCTAGCGGAAGCAAATACATAAATATAGTTATCCAATGATCTGTGCTGACTTATATGAAACGGAATATTTAAAACTTTATATATGTATCCAATAGTCATTCATACATTATACTCACACACACAAAAGCATCTTAAGTACAGCCAACAAAAATCACAAGTTCATATACGGAAACAACCGGAACTTTAACACATGAGACACTTCAGGAACCTCCACGTGAGGCACAATGGTTGGCTGACAACAAAACACAGATCCCGACAAAAGCCTTCAAGCTCAATCTCCAAAATGCCCACCTATACATATATATACACACAGTGAGCTAAAGCCTAGTGAATAACATCAATGTAAAGAGATTAGTGAACGAAATTCAAACATGTCATAAGCGTAAAACAGATCAGAGCATAAACATTCTTGTATCTGAACATAATAATGGTACATCTCATAAAACACATCACATATCGTCTTCCAACTAGAGTAATCGGTTCCGAATACCGATTAAACACATATCACCACAATGAAGTGGTGGCTGGCCTCTACCCTGACTCTGGCTCTGAGATCGAGCCGTAGATGATGCTGCTCTCTGCACTCCTCCCCTCTGAGGACAAACTGGAGACTTGTGGCCCAGCTGGCCACACTTGAAACAGGTAATGTCTCCCTGACTGCCTTTTCCCGAACTAGCACTCGGCACAGGAAAAGTCGATCTAGAAAAGCTACCCTGATACTGCTGAGGATTAAAACCCTTCTGTCTCCTACCATCACTCTGACCATCCTGACTCCTCTTGAAGCCCTTCTGTCATTCCTCCTCCTCCTGCATCATGATTTCCATGTGGGCCGCAGCATCAACCATACGCCCATAATCCCGAATCATAGTTCCCCCAACTCTCAGCTTGAGGCCACGCCTCAACTTCTTCTCAAACTCGATACAACGGCGTTCCTCAGACGCCACCAACTCAGGTATCTGAACATAATAAACATTCTTGTATCTGAACATAATAATGGTACATCTCATAAAACACATCACATATCGTCTTCCAACTAGAGTAATCGGTTCCGAATACCGATTAAACACATATCACCACAATGAAGTGGCTAACGAGATCTCATAATCACATGTATGTCATGGACCCGCATTCACATGCCGTCCCCCATGACTTGTGACTATCTATGGATGTCATAATAAATTCCAAACATAGGACATTCGTTCACGTAAACAATATCATTTCAGAAATCATAACTTGTTTGGAACATAATTCATATCAACATATCTTTACGGAAATGTTACTCACAATGGTTCTCGTGAACGGTCAATCAATCTCCAGACGTTGACCTACAAACACAAAAGTACATAACACCAACATATCTTATCATTACGCATTCATGTAGCCATTACGGCTTAGCTTTCGTTATATTGGTTCTCGTTCTTTTTTATCACAATGCTTAAACACACACACTTGCAATTTCTTAACTTAGTACATTCCTTTCATAGTGTGTTTCTAATCCATAACCTCATTACTATGGCTTAATTAAGTCTTAGGAATGCCTAAGATACAATAAGGATGCCAAAATGTGAGTTGGAACACTTAGTCAAATTTCTAAAAACAGGGTCCCCGCTCGAGCGTAGCTTTCCTCACTCGAGCGGACATGTAAAATGTGAATGGTCGCTCGAGCGCAGCTTCCTTCGCTCGAGCGCAGCTTCCTTCGCTCGAGCGATCTGCAAAGATATGAAACTTCTGGGAGCTAGCATTTCACATTCAAGCGGACTTCTGGTCACTCGAGCGGAAGTGCACGCACTCAGAGTGGTCGCTCGAGCGTGAACTCCTACGCTCGAGGGTAGGTGCAAATTCTAGAATTTCCAGATTTGATCACCAAACTCAAAACTCGAATTCAACTCTTCAAAACACATCTCTTGGGCCCCAAAACTTGAGATAACATAGTAAACTTGTAAAGTATGAAGAATTAAGGATCATTTTATAAAATCATGGCCCAAGAGTTTGCCAAAAGCTCACAATTCATCTTGAAATTTAAGAAACAAAGCATACATGTAAAATCTTACAAACTCTTTTCTCCAAAGCTTATGAAATTAACAAAATTGAGCTCATAAGCTCCATTCATGTAAGAAATTCCTTCTCAAAACATGAGTTCAAGTGATTAACATGGTAATTCTAACATGCATGTACCAAATAACTTACCATAATAACTTAGATGCTCAAAATCAAACTTAACATGTCAAAACTCCATATATTCATGCATGCATGTGGATTTCCCTTCCAAATTCTCTTTCAAGACTTCAAAAACATGGGATTGACTTACAAAACTTGATGAAATATGCATGCATGTACATTTCAACCTCCAAATTCAACACAATTGATGAAACTCATAGCTAACTTGGTAATTTAACACCTACATGAGCATGTATGTATGAATTGTAACCCAATTCTTTATCCTAAGCTCAAAGTACACATTTAAGCACATAATCTTCATGTTAATAACTTAGATTCATAAATTAGGAGTTGAATTCATACCTATAGTCTTGAATTAACTAGATTCTTGCACAATATTGATGAACTCAAGCAAAGTCTTCAACTCTACCTTGGATTTCTTCTTATCTCTCTCTAGAATTGCACTCTCTCTCTCTCTCTCTAAAATAAATTCTCAGATTTTGGCACTAAGAGGTAAAAGAATTGAGCTCAAAAATGACCTTAAGGCTCATATATATAGTTAGGATGCTAATAATACAACAATTAGAACATAAGGCTTGCCAAACGCAACTTAATGAATCAGACTGAATCAATTTTTAATAAAAATTGCCATAGTGTTCTAAAAAATTCCAAATAACACATTCATATAACCAATTCCGATTTCAGATGCCGATAAGGCTTTCAATTTTCATATTAAAGCAGATTTCACAACAGATGTTAGTACGAGTGACAGATAGAAAACCAAATAACATATGAAATACAAGATAAACACATAATTTATTTTATCCACTTAATTAACATCCTTAATTACGAGTTAGCAGCTAATCGCGGATCGGGGTTGTTACAGATACCCTACTTTTATACTTAACAGTGCCTTTGTTCTCTAGAAGTATCACTTCGTAAGACTCCATCCCTTAGGATAACATCTATCTTGGACTCCTCTAATCCAAATTAGAGCAAACTCTCTTACGAGTCTCATCTATATCTAAATAGAGGGTCTTAAACCATCTAGAACTCTTGTCCTTTATCCGAATATCTCAGATTCTGATATGATCACATCATATCTCAGTAGGGGTGTAAAAATAGCCTGCGGCCTGAAGCCCCCTACAGTCCAAGGTGGGCTTGACCCGGTTAAGCCTAGGCCCGACCCAGTCCGGGACCCTAGACTTGGGCCTGAGCCGTCATTTTTTAAGCTCGGCCCAACCCATGAGCCAAGCCTATGTCTCGACACATCAGCCCGCTCAAGGCCCACTCAAAACCTAGCTCGCCTGTCATTTTTGGTGGAAAAGAATAAATTTTTGGTAGAATTTTTTTTTGTGTTCAGGCAAGCTAGCCCAACCCGAGGCCCGGCTCGCCTAAGGCTCGAATATATCCCCTAGGCCTGGCCTTAAATTTCTAGCTCGTCGGATAGCCTGGACCAGCCTGAATTTTGGCGAGAGCCTGCGTAGCCCGACATGGGCTGGCTCGAGCCTAGGCTCGGATGCACCAAGCCGGGCCATATTTACACCCCTATATATCGACAACTTGGTTCATTCATATGGCATCTTAGCTAACAACCTCAGCCACATGGACAACTCTAGAAACATATCCTTACACTAATGACCATATTTTATCAAATAATAAAATTTCTAAAGTTTAAATAGAGAAAATGTTAAATAAAATAGAGAAAGAAATATCGTTGAAGAAAGGGTATATTACACTTTGTCCACTTTATCACTTCGGTCCTTAAAGTTTATTTTTTCTCATTTTGACCTTTCATGTTTCAGTTTTTTTTTCAGCTTAAAAGCTAACTTTTGTTAAAAATTAGACAAAAAATGATACATTAATAATCACGTGATATAAAAATATTTTATTATATATAATTCACATCTCTGACACAAACTCAAACTTAAATATAATATATTTTTTATATTATGTGACAATTATCGTGGTATTTTTTGTTTAATTTTGATTAGAAGTTGGTTTTAGGAGTAATCTAAAAAAAACTTAAAACATGAAAGGTGAAAATGAAAAAAAAAACAAACAAACAATCAAACAAACTCTAAGGGACAAAGTGACAAAGTAATAAAATATAAAAGGGACAAAATATAATTTACTCAAGAAGAAACTAGTTAATTTTCTAAAATGGAAAATTCCACTTTTCAACTAAAATTTTAGTGAAAATAGAATTATTTTTTATTTTTTTATAAATAAAAGTTAAAAATATTTAAAACCCATAAAAAAACACCCATAATTATATTTAAAATGATATATAATATCATATGTATCAACTTGCAACCCAACTCCCTAACCATATTATTGTGGGTGGGCTAAAATGAATAAAATTTGAGCCTTTAATCCGACCCGACCCATTAAGCCCGTTTGTTGGATCCTGTAACCGAGCTGCATATATATTATAATCAGAGAGTACCGGAAGACGATGAGATATACATATAGATACAGACGGACCGCCATAACTGAGCTTCGATTGAATCCGTGGTAGAGAGAGAGAGAGAGAGAGAACAGAGGTAGACGATGGGTGAGAGTGCGACAATCGACGACGATTTGCTTCTCAAGAACTTCTTCGCCGAGGTCAGCGAAGTTGAGCGCGAGAACGAAGTCCACAGGTCTCTCTTCTCTTCTATCTCTCTCTAAAATTCCCTTTCTTTTTCTTCCAATTACTATATTTTTCTGCTTTCTGCCCATTTTTTATGCTGTTGATTTTGAACGATTAGGGTTTCTTCATATTTTTCTCGTTCGTGAATTGTTTCTTTCTTTAATTCACTACATATAGGAATAGGTGGGGTAAAGATTGATGTTGCATAGCTGAACAATGGTCAAGAATGGAGTATGTTGTTGATTTTTTTTTTTTCTTCAAGGTGGTGGTGGTGGAACTAATTTATTTATGCTGATCAATAGTGTATTATTAATGAACTGGATGAATTTAAGGAGTTGTTATTTATTTAGGGTGATTTGGATTAGGGAACTAGTATGAGAGTTACAATGATAGTATTGTAAGTGTATAGGTGTATTCAAATTATATGTAGATTTGTGAGATTTGACCCTAAGAATATCATTGGGGTATCAAATCTGTACAAAGTCGGTCAAATTCGTTTTATCTCTAGCTGTATCGTTAGTTTTTATCTTCTTTTTTTTGGGTGCATTGGAAGGGGGAGGGGAAGCGAGACCTATGACCTCCTAGTAAGATACACGGGTACTGATTACTATGCTTATCCCAATGGTTTGTATCATTGGATGTTAAACCAGTGACAAATTACATGTCTTAACATTGAGTACTCAATGCCTTGAATTAGCAAGGATGATGAGATTGTGGATGGATTGCATGTTTGATAATGAAATTAATACTTTCAAGCTTAACGCATTTGGTGTGCATTTAACATGTAGCCACATACCACTTTAAATTTGAAAATTGATCGAAAATGGGTTTTAATTATAAGTCACGAAGTCAAAGAGTCTAGACTTATCGATGAATATTGATTACGTTGAAGTGGAAAATAGTTTTCATTTTCACTTTAAACAGCATATATATCTTAAAATTTTCAAATATAAATTTCAGTATTTAAATAATTCAGCTTCAGAATCCAGTACAAAAAAAAATAAAATTCAGCATCATCAAATAGCCTTTTGCCTTGACCCGTGCATGGGTAATAAAGATGACACTATGTTAAGAGATAGAAAGAACGATGAGTGAACAAATAGTGGTTGTTGTTTGAATCGAACATTATTTATGTGATATGGTATAAATGACCCAATATCTCTAGATTATTGGTTAGCATAGAAAGAATGATGAGTGAAAAAATGATGGTTGTTGTTTGAATCGAACATTATTTAGTGCAAGCTGGTTTAAATGAACCAATTTCCCTAGGTTATTGATTAATAGCTTGGATGGATTGTCTTATGTCACAATGGTTACCACCAAAGAAAAAAGTCTAGCATGGAGGAATGTATGGCTGTGGAATTGTTGAAAGCATGACTTTCTACATATCAAAACATGCACGATGGAGAAAGGAAAGGAAGAAAAAAGCACAAACCAACAAATGATATTAACTATGTCCGTGTCAACTTAGCAAGTGTTTGCCCAAGTGCTTGGGGTTGACTACATGAATCCATTTCCTCCAGTTGTTTTGATTCAAAATCATATCCTCTAGTATAAAGTCCTTTATTGTCACCTTGTCACATGTCTTTCTTGGCATTCCTCTATTTCTTTTGCAGATTGGTGACCATTGTTTCAATGGTAAAACTTTGGCCTAATAACCTTAAGGTTATGGGTTCAAGTCATAGGGCAATCACTTTGTCTACAATGCCAAAAGTTAGGTGTGTATCCAATTTTTCCCCTCCCAAACACATTAATGTGTACTAATTGGGCGTTATTTTTTTTCCCTCTATTTCTTTTGCCACCCTCGTCATGGATCAAATCACTCCTCACATGCGCATTAACTAGTCTATGACTCACTTGTCCATGCCATCTCAAATTGGTTTTCCTCTTTTCTCTTCCATTGATTCCATTTCTAACTTTCTCATAATGGATTCGTTTCTTATTTTATCTTTTCTTTTAGCATCACCTATCCATCTCAACATTCTCATTTTAGTTCCTCATTTTTCTAAACATGATTTTTTGAACCACCCAACATTACCATACCTCAAAGCAAGATCGTAGTCCTACAAAATATTCCTTCAACTTAATAGGAGTCCTACAATCACACAATACTCCTGATACACTTGTCCACTGCATCAATCCCGTTCTAATTATATATAGGCTGCATTCTATTTAGTCTCTCCTTATCTATGTGTAATTGATCGAAGATATCGAAAATGGTCTTGCCATTAAATTCTACTCTACTTGTGTCTATATTTCTAGTTTTGCTAAGGTTAAGTACTATTTATTTTGTTGTAGCTCTACTAAACCTAAAGCATTTAAATTCTAAAATATCTCTTCTCAATTTAAACTTGTTTGGGGTGTCCTAAATAAGTGCATTTTTTGTCTTTTTGAACTAAAACGTTGAGGAAAAAAAAATGGATGTTTGGGTTTAACTTTTTGTCTTTTTACGAAAAAATGTGTAATAAAAAATTGTATAAATAAAGCGTATAGTGGAAGAAATATGAGTGGTTGTACGGCTGGCCTGCTGCCCCAGCATGTCTTGCCCAGAAAATAATTGCCTCCTTCGAGGCAAAGTGTTTGGACAGTGATGGTCGGTCCGTGGGGGCACCATGGGTCCCATTTTAATAATCTGAACCGTTCAATATGTACAACTTGTCGAGTATTATATGCCTGTAAAAAATCACGTTAATTGAATATCGATAGCTATATGATCGAATTAGTTTTTTTCAACAGTTAATTATCACACCATTCGTTTTGTTTATACAAAACTGATTTGATCATATAGTTAACAATATCCGATCAACATGATTTTTTACAGGCATATATTACTCGACGAGTTGTACATATTGAACGGTTCGGATTATCAAAACGGAACTCTTAGTAGGCCCCCAAGGGTCCAACATTAGTATCAAACTTTGTACCTTTACCTATGTAATTTTTTTTTTTGGCCCAAAAAGTGTATAATGGCCTTCCTGCTTCACAAGTATGGCTGACAGTATCCATCAAACTTTTGTATTATAAAAATATATAAAATATTTTTTTAATATTTTTTATTTGCGAATAGTAATGACTTTTTTACTTTTTGTATAACTTTTTGGCGTTTTGGATTATTTTGGACTTGCCAAACCAGCCCTTAGTGTTTACTTTTTCTCTTGTTTCATCTACTAAAATTATATTGTCTGCAAACTACACACACTAGTGGATATCCCCTTGAATGTTTCTAGTAAATTCATCGATAACTAATGCAAAAAGATAAGAACTTAGTAAATGATCCTTGTAAAAACCAAGGATAGCAGTGCCTGTGTTCCTTTATTGAAAAGGATAGTTTGAACTGTTTTAATCCAATTCTACTTGTTAATCACCAAGCTTTGGTTTGTTGAAGTCTTTATCTGTGTACACCTATACTTGGAATGGTGGTTTAGGGTTTCCAACGCCAATTACAAAACTGAGATAAAGGTGAGGGGAGAATCTTCAAGATTCTGTTGAGCTTTCTTAGTATGAACCATTTCTCTACGTAAGTATACCCCACCCGAGACAATTTGTGTTTGGGAACACCCACCCATACAAGGTTGCAATATTTTTATTTTCACAAAGATTGATTGCTTGAAAGGTATAGTTGAATTGGGGAAGGGAATCTAGACTATGATTTTTGGAAAAGGTACAGTGGCTTCAATAATATAATGTTTCAATATGATAATCTCATATCTCACTAACTTTGTTTGCTTGAGAAGTATAATTGGTTTGAGGAAGGAAGTCTAGACTATGATTTTTGGAAAACGTACACTGGTGTCACTAATATAATGTTCAATTTTTCAAAAAGACTTGACTTTTCTTCTAAACTATATCGAAATATGTTTGTTTTTTGTGTTCTTTCTTTGCTAGTTTATCTTGCCACAATTGATCAAGAAAAACTTTACAATTATGTAGGATCCTCTCATGCTTCAAGTTAAATGCATTCGAGTTTCTTAACCTACCATTTGATTCATCTCTGGAGGATGTGAAAAAACAATATCGTAAGGTAAAGCTTTCCTTGTTGAAGTGGATTTAAGTTTTTTGATAATTTGATGTCTTATTAGTTAGTGCTTCATTGACATGTTTCATATTACTTGTACATTTCTAGTTATCTTTGCTGGTTCATCCTGACAAATGCAAGCATCCACAAGCTAAGGAGGCATTTGCTGGTAAGTATATCTATGCTACATGTCTTGTTGTGTGAGAGGGAAAATTGAAATGTCATTCAAAGCCATTGGGCTGATGTTATGTCAAAAACATCTCTACACATAATGAGATTTAAATGTTAGCTTAACGGTCATGTTCGATAATTATAGTTATCTAGTAAGTCTGTCCAAATAACGAAGTTACAGTTTATATATATTTTTAAATTTTTTGTTCTTGTTTTAAGTTTTTTAATTTAATAGACACATCACATCTTGAAATTCCAAGCTCAGAAAGTTGGACGGCATTGTTTCTCATTGCTTTAATCTAACCCCTTTGTTAACCTTACTATTGGCGGTGTTTGGGAACAAATTTTTTAGGTTTTTATTTTTTATTTTTTTTTCACTAAAAGACAAATTGGTTACAAAACAAAAAAAAAAAAAATCCAAACAAAATATCACATCAAACCTCATAATCATTTCACTTTTTCTCTCACAAACATCACATTCAACCACAAAAAAACCCAACTATCTTTCCAAACACACAAAAAAAATTTCTCCAATAATATCCTATAACTAAAAAAACCTACAAAAAAACCCACTTCCCAAACACTCACATTATATATCATGTTTACCTGAACAATTAAATTTAGTGGTTTTGGAGAAATTTCTTTTATGTAGCCAAACTGGACCCATATGACCTATCATGACTACATCTACACGTAGTGTACATATTTCTACCTTGGTGGTTAGGGGAGCAGGCCCTTGCACTTTGTCTCTTGATTCTCCAACCACAAAAAAACCCAACTATCTTTCCAAACACAAAAAAATATTTCTCCAATAATATCCTATAACTAAAAAAACCTACAAAAAAACCCACTTCCCAAACACTCACACTATATATCATGTTTACCTGAACAATTAAATTTAGTGGTTTTGGAGAAATTTCTTTTATGTAGCCAAACTGGACCCATATGACCTATCATGACTACATCTACACGTAGTGTACATATTTCTACCTTGGTGGTTAGGGGAGCAGGCCCTTGCACTTTGTCTCTTGATTCATCATTTATGTTTCAATTTGTGAGGAGCCTCATTAGTCTAAGCACTCAAAGAAGGAGCTTTACAAGAAGCCTTGCCCCAACAAAGTGCACATGTTGTTGGTTAATAAAAACATGAGTTTTGATAGGCTGGACGACTGGGACTATAAGTAGTACAAAGCCTTTAAATGAAAAACGGAAGGATTTTTTAGCAAATTTTCACTTACAAGGAATCCCTAGTACCAAAGATTTTAAAGGCGAATGAGTAATTCGAGGCGTTTTACCCCTCATGAGGCGAGACATAAGCCTTAAGGCGTCAAGGCATAAATATTTCAAATTTTACATTTTAATATCAAGTGAATAAATTAAATATTTTAAAATAGTGAAAATAAATAAATAAATACAAAGGTGTAAATACTTTTCTCCTTAAGGCATTAAACATTTCACTGCAAAAATTGAACTTTGCCTTTACTGAAAGTGAAATTGATATCCTTAGTTTTAGTGATTGAGCTTCTCACTTGATAATTAACTGTATTTTTTCTTGATTGGTCATTTACTTAATGTTTCCTTTAGAATATAGTTGCAAAATGGCATTCTTTTTTATTTTTTGCTTTTTTATGTTTAAACAATCTACTAGACTAAGTTTATCAAAAACCCAAGGCAGCCTCTTCATATGCATACTTCTCATATGCTTATACGCAAAAGGCATACAAGGCGCACCTAAGGAGCATGTCTCAAACTGTTATGTGTAAGCCGTTGAGGTGTAAAGCTTAAAAATCAAAGCCTTGATATGTTTTACCTTAGCCTCGAGGCAAGGCGAGGTGAGCATTGAGGCGAGCCTCAATGAAGCCGATTAAACTTTGCCTAGTACACATCTATCCTAGAAATATGTTGAATTTTTAGCAAATTTTCATATGTGCTGATCCTTGTGGTCAAAATGGAAGTTGTAACTTCTAAGTAATATGTTGGAGTACACAGTCTGAATTCTGAATTGTATTTATACTTGTTTTTATTTTTTGATTCGACTTATGGTTTGGCTAACAATAGATTGTTATCTTCTGAGCAGCATTAGCAAAAGCCCAACAATTGTTGCTTGAGCCACAAGAACGAGAGTATCTTCTTAACCAAGTTACTGCAGCAAAAGGTCTGTGCTTAGGCATCAATATCTTTAAGTTCCAGCTGGATCTTATTTGTTTGTTTGTTTTTTTTTTTCTTTTTCCCCCTTGTTATTTAAAAACATTATTCTTTACTATCAATACACACATGTATTAGAAATTATTGGCTACTCCTCTGTTCTTGTTTTCATGTTGATCATGCAATTTGCTGAATTTTTATGTTTTCTTTCTTATTTGATAAATATTAGTCCTATTTTTTGTCCATGGCTGCCCTTTTTTGTAGCCTTGTATTAAATTTGTTGTAATTACTTTCTACTATATAGAACTAAAAATCATGGCTCATTACACTTTAACTTTGCAGAATGGAATAGTAATGTAAATTTGTGTGCGTTCATCTGATTCTTAGCATTACTGTTTCATTGTGATAGAGGGTTTTCCCTATTGGGTAATAGAAAACAATAGAAGCTAACTTTTTTTTTTTTGGTTACATTTGAACTGCAGAAGAACTTAGAGCAAAGAGGAAGAAGCAGCTTAAGAAAGATAATGCTTCTAAGATAAAGTCATTAGTCGATGAGGTAATGTGAGGTTGCACTAGCATTTCTGTCCATGCTCTTTCTTGCCCCACAGCTGCTCGCCCCCTCTTTTTGTTTGATATGTATACTCTTCACTGGTGACAACCTTGCTGCATGCTTGCAATACTTCATCCTCGTATCTTGAATGGTTTATTAAATTTTTAGATTCCGATCTTGTGAAATCTGTGTTGTCAATCGCGCAGTTAATATGTAATATTTTTTAAGGTAAGGAAATAACTTATGGTAATTGAACAAAGGTTGATTTGCTCCTTTTTGGACTTGGGATCATGGTTTTTCTTAAAGCTGCAAGTGTTATACAAGTTTTTTCCATTGTTAACTAAACCGGAAGCTTCCTATGTCTGACCCCAATTTGAGCTTCCTATTAGAATTAGTATATTTACTTTTCATTGTTTTTCCATACAGCATGCAGAAAAGTTTTTGATAATCACAACAGTTCAGATAATCTGTGTTATTGTCCACATATTGAACCGCTTTTGTGTCTGATACCTTGTGGTCATACCAGGATGTGATAATCTTTCAATGTATAGAGATCATATTTTTTAATTTGTGGAGTGTTAAAAATTATGGTTTGAGGCCAACATCTTTCTAAGTGTTGCAGTAGAGAGTGGATTATTCAGGCCTAAAAATTGCGGACACTTATAAGAAGGTTTTGTGTTCATGTTAACAACACTTATCAAGAAAAAGTTTTCCGTGTCTAAAACAAGCACTCCTTGGACTCACCAGAACGTGTGTTAAACACCTTTGATATTTTTAGAACCTGACATGCTTTGGACACTTGGGAGACATAGGTGTCAATTGCACACATAAAATACAACACAAGTTTGAAGAGAATTACCTAAAATCTAATAACTAACATCAAACAATGTGGGTTTATACCTATCAATCTCATCTCTTTAGTCTTACTAAGTTTAAGAACTCTAATGCCTAAAACATCCAGTTTGTTTTTGAATTAAGCTTTTTCAAATAGATATTGGAACTTTGTGTCAACACTTCTTTTCCGATAATGTGAAATAATTTTATACTATTTGGGTATCAATAAAATAAAAACGTTCTTGTAATGTGAAAAACAAAGAAGTTATTATTATTTCTGTGTGTGCATATAAATATATCTTATTTATAATTGTGTTCCTGCCCTGTCATGTCTGGATCTTTTGACAATTGTTGTGTCGGTGTGTTTGTATCCTGTCATATCCCTGCTTTTAAAATTGCAACTCTGGTGAATGCATTACCACCCTTTTGCTCAATTAGATATTTTCGTGTGCGAAGTAGGATGGAGGAGGAAGAATCATTTCATTGTTGATTTATGTTGAATTTTCTTCAATAATGCATTTTTTTTTTTTTTTTTTTGCCTTGCTTTGCCTTTGGTGTAGAAGTTACTTTCCCATTTCTTATGCTTTTGGTGATGAGGCAAACAGCTTGCTGATTTGTATGACCTTTGAACTTTGATACAGGGAAAATATGAACAAGATTATGAACGGTCTCAGGAATTTCAGCAACAGCTGAAATTGAAGGTTCGTGAGATTTTGACAGATCAAGAATGGCGGAGGAGAAAAATGCGGATGAGGGTATGCTGGAAACCTTTTTTGTTGTTTTCTTCTGGTTTAACCATTAAAACTTTCATGTTCATCTGTCTTTTGGATATTGTGTAGATATCAGAAGAGGAAGGTAGACTGAAGAAGGATGAAGAAGAAGCACAGGAAATGTGGAAAAGAAAGCGCGAGCACGAGGAGCAGTGGGAAGGAACAAGAGAACAAAGGGTTTGTTTTCAAACTCACATTTTGATACCATCAATTTACAAATTTGCACATGCATTTTGCGTTCATTAACATTATAACCTAGGTACAATCATGCGTTGGTGCATGTCCTACATTAGTACTTCACTCATTTGACAGAGTCATTGTGATAGAGGGTTATGTGAAAATTTTCTACCGAGTTGCCAGTATGTTCTTTACTTTCTTAGACTTGCTTGTTGGGTTCATGTCCAACAACACTCATGCCTTAGCTCCATGCACACACTGAGCTGCGTCCATGAATATACAAGTGGGTATGTGCCATATGAGCTTTTTATGACTTTCTATCATGCACATGGTTTCTTGTCTAGCCTTTTATTTGCAACAGGCATTGCCAAGGTGCTTGTCCCCAAAAGAAGAATTGTGGTAATGTGTACGTGTGATTTTCTTTCATGCAAATTTACCCCATTTGAAATCTACAACTTTAGAGAGATTAATGATAGATGTTAAAGTGAATTGAGAAGATTTTGAGGATCTCTTAGTGTTGTTACATCAATGATGGTTTTGGGGTTTGACTTTCTAAAACTAATCTTGAGGTCAAACTGAGAAATACAAGTTCTTGATTCATCATCTCAGCCAAGGGTTCAACCTCATAAAAATTTTAAAATAAACAAAGTTGAAGTTTTGTTAAGTATGCTATCCTGAAAAGAATTTGGGTGGTAGAAGGTTTATGGAAAGGATATCTTCTCAGACCTAACATTGAAACTCTTCAGGAGAAAGTCAATAGTTTGAGGTAATATCAGGTTAAATTTTACCTTTCATGACTATCTATTTTTTTTTTTTTTTTAAACTTTTCATGGTTCAGTTAAGTAAGTTGTCCTCGGACTATACTTACATCTCGTAATGCTTTCCATAGTGTACTATGTGAAGGTCTGATGCTATGCTTCACTTGCTGGTTTGGGTTGTAATGAAGGTACTAGTTGTAAGGGATAGAGGGAACATTGGAATTGCCTGCCTCTGTTGAAGGTGGCATGTAGTCGGGACTTTGAGAAGCAAGTAATATTGGTAGTAACGTCCTTTAGGCTATTGGGTTTCTGGAGAGCAGCTTACAGATATGAAATGGAAGTAGGCTTTTAGGTTGAAACAACCCAGAAACGAGGTCTTTATGGATTGTGGGAATAGGGGAGCAGGGATGACATCTCGTAACGACAAATGGAATGCATAGATAAGGAGATTTCTTTTTAAAAAATAAAGAGAAGAAGAAGAAGATGAGGTTTCAAGTGCCTCTCGTTTTTGTTTTCTGTGGCAAATTGTTTATGGAAACTGTTTTCAAGAAAAATTTCAGAAATTACCACTTTTGTTTCTGAAAACACAAACACAAGCACAAGCACAAACACAAACACAAACAAAAACAAAAACAAAAACAAAAATCAAAATAAACTTTTTGTAATTTACAAAAAATGAAATAGAAAACAAGTGAAAACGCAACCAAACATTCATTTCAATTTTAGGGTTGTTAGGTCCATTTTTAGAATATGCCTAGAGATAAAATATTATGGTTTTTTGATAATTTTATAATTGGTGGGATTTGAACCAAGATTTCTTGCTATAAACTTCACAATTCGATGGTGTAATCATGTCCTTACATAAGAACTGGTATATAACATGTGCCAAATAGTTTATTTTTTCATATATACAATTGTTCAATATCATTTTTTTATAGTTTGTACTGAATCATACAAAGATTCTCAAAACTAGAATTTTGATTCACAATATGATTCTCAATTTGATGACTCATGTTTCTACTTTCCAGCTAGCCTTTCTAGCTGGCGATGTGGTGCATGTTTTGAGATTTTTGGAATCATTTTAGCATGACCCTTTTCAGCTTACGATTCTAGCTCTTTTATTGACCCACTATTTAACTGTTAATATTAAAGAACTATTCAAAATTGTAGATATTAAAATATAAAATATATTTTATTATTGATGTATCCTCACGGTACCTGTATTTTAGTTTTTTGGATTTTGATCTATGGCCCTATCCTCCACATCATATTGTACATATTTGTTTCTATGCTTCCTAGATTGTAGTTTCATTCAATAGTATGGCGTCTTTTTCAATATCATGTCAGATTGAAACATTCTGACATATAATGTGATCCTCACTGAAGTATAATTATTTATAGTCCATTGGATTTGGATCCAAACTTAGATTTTGGTGTATTTTATTAGAAAATGATGTGCCTGAGACAAATTGCTCCTATCATAACTTGTTAATTGCTGTTCTTTAAATTTTTATAGTGTTTTGATATTTTAAGACGGTTTTTTTTTTTTTTTAAATGATGATGGTAGTCATTTTTTGCTCTTGTGAAAAGATGTGATTATCATAGAACTAGTTATAACTGTTAGTATGATATTTTCAATTATTTAAATAATTAATTATATTATAATATGATTTTTATGGAATTAATATCGCATAATTTTATTTCATCGGTTAGCAACATTAGTTGTCTTGTCAATATGTTACTATTATTAATTTGAACCTTATATTATGATTGAGTAGTCTTAATTTTTCATCCTAATGACTTCACACGATTGAGAAATTTGAGATATCATGAAATGAAAGGATAATAAGGTATTTCCATTCACATTCCTAAATTTGTTTATGGAAGAATAAGTTGGTGTTAGGATGTAGTCTCCAAACCAAATTAAACTATAGGATGCGGTTTTCTTTCTTTTTTTTTTTTTTAGGAAACCAAACCAAATTAAATCGGAATCAAGTGAGGTTCGTTTCATGAACCCTTGTTTACCATTCTGCTTTGTCAAGGGTTGCATGCTTTTCCCTTTTTTTTTTTGGTACATCTTATTAATTAATGATATGAATACGGACTTAATGGAAATTACTCTCTCTCTCTCTCTCTCTCTCACACACACACACACACACACACACACACACACTCTGCTGCCCTTGTTTCATTGTGTCTCCTGTTTTTATTTCTTTTGTTAATTTCTTTTTTTTAACAATTGTTTTGTAATCACTTTTTACTGGACCTGTGCTGGTGCTTATCTTAAAACCCGATTTTATTATTATTAGTTTGGTAACATGGGGTCATGCTTTTGCTAAAAGATCACAAGTTCAAAGTTATGCAAACAAATATGATATTGACCTTTTTCTTTTATGACATGGTATGATAGGTTTCCAGCTGGAGAGATTTCATGAAGGGTGGTAAGAAGGTGAGATAACTCAAATGATAAATCTCTTCCTTCTTTTTCATCTTAAAAGAATCCAGTCTAGTTGTATGAATAACGAATGTTACACTTATAGCAGACACAAATGGGCTTTAAATTTTATATTTTGTTATTTGGTTTGGCACAGGTAAAGAAAGGAGAGATTCGACCCCCAAAGCTGAAGACAGAAGATCCTAACAAATCATATGTTCAGAGGCCTGTGAAGCGAGCTTAATAAATTTCAATTCAAGCGGTTTGGGCTTTTTGGTAATTTGTTACGGTTTCAACAAGGCAAGCTATGCTGAAATTTATGGCTTAATATATGTCATCTCTCTGTATTCAAAGCTCTGATTGTTTCCAAATCCTTTTAAGATACCTTATTTGAGTAAAGACGATTGACATAGTTTGTACATTGCATTCAACTAATAATTGCTTTTCAAGTAGGCACACTTAACGTCATTGAACGATTTCTTCGTTTTAATAGAGACAACTGAAAGTGTCAGATATAAAGGGTAGGCCTCAGAGCATGGATTTTGGACACTGTAGGGTCTAAAAATGATGAGATGTTTTTGGAGTTCTTGCGTAGGGTAGGGAATTAAATACTCTCTTGGCAGGCGGTAGGAAAAAAATTATTCTCTTAAGAAACTCCTTAGGCTAAGGAGTTGTTTGGAATGTTCTAAATAAGTGTACTTTTTGATTTTTTATAAAAAGATGTGTAAAAAAAATAGAGAGGAAATGTTGATTGATGTGATCTAAAAAAGATAAAAAGATAAAAAGCATAGACTTATTTGGTCTTCCCAAACAAGGCCTAATAATTGCTTACTATTCATAATTTGTCTTGTTATGGACATAAAATGACTCGCAAACTCGTTAGATATTTAGTGGGTTCAATCAAACCCAATTAGATATGTAGTGGGTTCAATCAGACCTCTTTGAATCCGATTTTGTTCCTTAATCATAGACTAGCCTTGTGGAAAAATAATCATTGGACTGTCTTTAATCTAAACGGCTGAAGAATCCTTTGATTAAACACTAATCCCTAATTCATTTTTCACATTCTTAAAAAAGAAATTGCCACTTCATTCTTCTAGTTGTCAATGTATATATATACATTGACAAGGGAGCATTTTAACAGGATTAAAAAAACAAAAAAACAAAAAAAAAATCATATACAGACGAAGTGAGATAAATTACAAAATAAAACCTCCCACATTTTACATTCTCAGGCCAAAAAAAGTTTATCTTCACACAAAAGTAATATATATTGTACAAAGCAAAAACACAAATTACACAAAAACGACGCCTCTAACTCTACATCAAGGCCCAATAAGATTTTACCCATTAATATATCTCACCAATCACATATGGGGACCTCCTGTCCTCTCAACCAAAAAGACAAAAAAAATAATGCAACCTAAAAATTTTTAAGAGAAGGAAAAAATAAGAAAAATACCCAGCAGTACTCATCCAAAAAAGAAGAGACAGCCAAGACTAAAACTTCTACCCTGCCTGTGGCTCAAATGTACAAAGGGGTGGTAAACTTTTGGAGAACCCCCAAACTGCTTTTCAGCAATAGCAAATAAAGTAACACCTACCCTCCTCCGCCGGCAACTTGGTTTCTCGAACTCGCTGTCGTCATTTTCTGAAGGCCTCTCTCTATACCAATTATGTGCCAGATACCAAGCCAAACTCTCCAAAAGCCTTCATATCTCTCCAACAAGTTCAGGAAACTCTCGTCTTCCATATGGCATCATGCTCTCTCTATACATAACACCAGAAAAATCCCAGGTGATAATAGCATGAGTGTAGAACTGAGTATACAGATAGGGTGTGGAAGGATCTACTGAATCCAAGCAAGGGAACCCCGTTCATTAGCAACTTGAGGACGACCTCGAGTTGGCGTCGGCGGCCTATTTGCATTGAGTTCCTAATCCCAGAGCAATAAACAATTCAAGATCAATCCCACAACAATGTACACAAAAATCACAACAAAAAAACCGACTTCAGTGCAAATATATACACACACTCTAGACTGTATGCACACCCGATGGATGTGCATGAAAATCAACAATTGCACTGAAAATTTATCGAGACTTGAAACTCCAAATCAAAATCCTATAGTTATTTATAGATATACATGGGTAAGTTGGGAATGAAAAAAGGTGTGGCAGTTCACACCAAGAAAGGTGTGTCCTTTACATAATAGAATATATATATATATATATATATATACATATATTGAAAATAGCAGTACCTGCATCCACGTGTCTTCTATATGGTGTTCAGGAGATGCTTCTGGAGAAGAAAGTGCAGGTGGCAATGGATGAATAAGTTTTGGAACGACTACAAGATCTCTACCCAAAACTAAAATTGCACCTGCATTATTTGCAGTACCTACAGAAATGGGGGGAAAACAATGTTTAAATATATGCTAAATCACGAGCTATGCTAAGAATCTTTGTAGGCAAGGAACAAACCACAGTAATTGGTGGCTGAGAACAGAGTAATTAAATGCCCCTGAGCAAAACGCTCAAACCCATCCATAACGCATTCATGTGCACGTACAATCAATTGAAGATCATTGTTGTTGCAGAATTCCATCACCCGATCAGGCTGAGTCAGAAAACCACATCAGATAAGCAGTGACATGCAAAATGCTGTAGAAACTACCAGAACAATAAGCTGACAATTTTAAAAGTATTAACTGTAATATTTTGCCCAACTGAAAGGTCAAAAAATTTCAGGCCAGTTTAGATTTTACAGTTTCAAATAAGGACAAGGTTGAGTTTTAAGTATAGTATGCAATCAGTCCGATTTAGATTTTACAGTTTCAAATAAGGACGAGGTTGAGTTTTAAGTATAGTATGCAATCAACCCAACAATTTCAAAAGTATAACAGTAACATTTGGCTAAATTACAAGCTCAAAAAATTTCAGGCCTGGAGAATAGGAGGATCAGGCCAGTTCAGACTAATTTAGATTTTACAGCTTTAAATGAACTAATACAATCGCGTGTCCATTTTGGAACCTTGATAGGTGCTACCCATAATATTACCTATTTTCTTATCTTTATCCAAAAATGTACTCAACAAATGTTAATCATGTCTGCAATTCCAAGAAAGTTGAGGGAATATAAAAGGATAATTCATCTAAAAAGTGCGTTAATATGCTAAATGTGTTTTCACCTATTCCTCTCAGATTGTGAGAGGTGTGTTTGGGGACATCTTAAAAGTTTAGACTAGGTCTCTGTGTTCTCCCCATTGAGGGGCTGTGACCTGCCTGGTCGTGTCTCTGTGAGCCTGTAGGCTATGTCTTTTCTTCTTTTGGTAATCAAATACCTACCAACAAAAATAAGAAGAATTGAAGAAACATCTGAAATATGATGAAACACAAAACAGAATACACACCCCGAAGGTAACCAATCCAGGACCTCTAGCATTTGGTCGTAATCCTTCTACGCTGTCATTTTCCGTTGGGTCGGACCTAAAAAGATTTCATAAACTTATGTTAACTGACAAAAAAAATATCAATGCAAAAAGATTATTAAAAAAAAAAAGAAAAAGAAAAAAAGAGATAAAAGGTGGAGTCTATAGACATGCACTGACCACAACAAGTCCATGAGAACTATTGAGCCTGCTTCCATTGTAATCGGACGCTGGAGATTGTCAATCTGATCCACATGATTTATTGATCTGCCAATACCACCATGCATACAGATAATTTTTTTCTCAATTAAAGCAGCCAGAGGGAGCCAATTAAACAATCTATTTATCCGATGCCACGTCCAGATTCCATCTCTCTCACCCTGTTCAGCATGTCAAGAAGTTAATAACTATGACTGGTAAAAGAAGAAAACAAAAACGTTTTAACATACAACTAATGTTTTACCATGCGCTCAATACACTCTATTCGAAAGCCAAAAAGGGCATTGATATCAGCAGCTTCATGATTCCCACGAATTAAATGTACATTGTGGGGATACTCAACCTGTAACATTCATCAAATGTCACAGAAACACAGCCCACATGTTTTAGTGACAGCTCTAAGATGATTAGACAGGCCAATTAATAGTATTTTCACCTTCAGAGCTAGAAGAAGTGAAATTGTTTCCAAGCTGTGCTGGCCCCGATCAACATAGTCTCCTAAGAAGAGATAATCGATATATCTGATATAGTCATATTTAAAATTAGCATCACAATAAAGGGTGGCAAAAAAATGCTGGTAATTGCACAATTCTTCACATAATAACCTAAACAACGTGGATTCCATGCACAAACAAAAAAAATACCGAAAAGTACAGTTTCAGTAAAGACACATATATAAGAGCAAAGTAAAAATAATCTTCTATGGGAATGCCAGAGAAACTTGACTATTGATAAACACCAACAATTATCTCTAGCATTTATGTATAATTAAAAAGGCCCTGCATCTAACCAAAAAACATAGCATGACATTATCACTTTTTTACATTCATGTAATCATAGAACGTGATGTTCAATGATATATCAGTTAACTCACATATTTACATATTGGCCAACACATAACAATACAGAGGCTCTGTTTGGCATATGCTAAAATAGCACATGCTATTTTAACATATTATCTTATTTGGGTTATGATCATCTTATTTGGGTCACATCACCTTTCTACTACATCACACGTTTTTTTCGTAAAAAGTCAAAAAATATACTAATCTAGCACTTCTCAAACAACCCCATAGTGTGGCATTACATGAGGTAATACAGTAGATTATTTATTTCTGACAGGATTATAGAACCCCACAAACCAATCAACAAAATTTTAGCAGCAATCAATAAGATCCTCTGACCCATTAGCAAGCATCGATGGCACATTTCAAATGTGATGAGGAATAGACTAGGGCCTACACTATATTGCACAAGTCTACGTAAATAAAGTCAGTCTAGCATGGTAGACAGCTTAAAAAGGATGTGCCTTGAAAAATAGAATTCCATGGAGATCTAGAGTTCTCCCTATTAACCACATGGGAGTCCCATCCATTGGCATGTATCTCATACTTATTTTTAAATAACATAATGCCATAAAGTCTCCCTGTCCCAAGAAAACCTCCATAACCACTTCCCAAGCAAGGCAGTACAATATTAACCAAAACAGGGCTCCTTTCTCTTTTGACCACTTCCCAACTAACCAAATGAACTTTCTTCCCATCTTCACTACCTTCACACAAAATGTCTCTCATCAACTTTTCAAACTAACCAAGTGAATTTTCTTCCCCTGTTCACTACCTTTACACAAACTTTCCTCATCTGTTTTTCAACTTATTGGCCCCCCTACTGAAATCTTGACAAGGATAAGTAGTAAATTGTTATGCTAGATAGAATGAACTGGAACAAGGCAAACCTTCTTCCCTTGGAAATTAAAGCCCTCTTCTATCCCTGTAATCTTTTTGCCAATCTTCTCATGATAAGTGTCCAAAAAATCATCAACCCTAGGATTGCCTCCCCAATGGAAGTTCTAAATACTTCATTGGCAAAGACTCAATTGGACACCCTATCAACCCAGCCAATCTTTGCAAACCATCATGTGAAAGATTAATGCCCATTATCGCAGTTTCACTCAAATCAATAACTTAAGCTTCGAAATCATATCAAAAAATCTCAAAATAAAGAGTAAGTCAGCCCTATGTTGCCTGGAACATGGATCGTTCCGGTAGGAGAAACGGGAACAGGAACGGGAACATGATACGCCACATGCTCTCAAATGTGCTACGATAGGGGTAGACTTGTATATATTATACCTGAGAATTTAAGGTACTTCTAGAGTAAATTTTTTAAACTATTAGACACCCAATAAAATATTTTCTATGAGCATTATGACCTTTTTTTTTTTTTTTTTTTTGATGTTTTTGTCTCATCAAAACTTAAATTACCTTAGATTTTAGTTCCTTATATTTGATTTTTTTCCTCCTAAGGTAACATTTAAGGACATATATTGACAAAAACTTTTGGAATCGCTTTGAATTACTAAATTTACCATTTTGAAACAGAAGTGTACCATGTTTCAAAACGTGCGTACCAATACGTAATTCGCTAGAGTATTAGTGTTTTCTAGTAACCAAGAGTCAGCCAATTTCTCCTCTTCACCCAATCTTTGCGAAACATCATATGAAAGATTGACACCCACTATAGCACTTTTACTCAAATCAATAACAATAACAAGCCTCAAAATCATTTCAATAAATCTCAAAATAATGAGCAAGTTAGCCAATTTGAGAAAAAAATAGTACAAACATTGTCTTCAAAGTGTGTCAAGAGGAGAGGTTTTGGAGCCAATAATGTGAAAAATGAGTAGTTAACATGTATGAGCAAAAATACTTACGCTATGTCCCCAGCAGTTGAAGGGGAACCATATTCATCAAAAAGTCGCATAAGATCTCCAAATTGCCCATGCAAATCACCAAATATCTTGATAGGAGCCCTGAGTTGTAGAACAGTCGGTTCACTTGAAAATATCCGTTCAGCACTATCACAAAGATCTGCTATTTCATTGCAGTCCAAGAAAAATTGTCGGCGCACAGGAGGCTTCCAACCACGAGGCTTCAAGAGATGAGCTATAACCTGAAAGATTAAGAAAGAGGGTTCCCATTACAACAGGAAGCATAGATTGTAACTGAAACAAGGATTACAGCTGAATGATAGCAACCAAATGTCAAAGCAAACAAGACAGATACTTGCAGTAGCATGAGGACAACACCACAAAAAAATTTAATTATGGAGGACACCCAAATTCAGATCTGCAATTGCTGTTGCATGTCGGCACATGCCAAAAATAAGTATATTTCTATCATATACTAGCAGTGAAAAACTTAAAATGGTAAAAGAATGTCGGAAGGAAATAAGATGGCATAACCCTACCTTTTTGGGCACACTGTTGATGGACATTTGCCTGTCTAAAAGTTTCCTTGCGGCAGTGGCATTTTCTGGTGTTCCATAGCTGACTCGCCGTCCTTCATTTTCAAATTGATCAATTGAAAGCTGCCTTACCATGCCACCTAAAGCTCCACCAGTCTCTGCAGCTACAACAACCTGCAAATGAATGGAACAATATACTTTGATAAACAGATTCACCTATTGATAGGCATATTATGTATGACAAATGACTCGAAAAATAATATTCAAGATGGAAATCATTCTTAGTACTGACAGCTCTGTGATGCAACCGCACCCCAGCTGGAGCTGAATTAATTGACACAGCAGAATCAGGCTTAATCAAGGAAGATATCTGTTTCCCACTAGGGGTAGCCTCAGCGCCGCGATCCCTGTCTGGAATTTCAACTTCTCCATTAACTTGTCGTGCTTTGGCAGCAGCCAATGCCGCAGTAATGGCTTCAGCTTCTGCTGCTGAGGCCTCAACTAAGTACTCAACACCTTTGCTCAGTCTCCTGCAAAGAAGACCAATTTTAGAAGCTTTTAAGTGAACTGCTAAGCAAAAGTACTACCATGCTCAAAACTACACACAATTCAAATCAAAGTATAAATGCAGCTACAAAAATACCGGGCACCCTGGAGCATTGCATTTTCAGTGCTTATATCAGTGTATATATCACCATTTATAGGAGGAGCAACAGGATTTCCCAGCACAACTGCACCATCAGGAACAGCTTCAGGATTTGTGTGTGCAGACCTGTCATCACCGAACCCATACCTTCCAGCCAACCTCCCTGCCTGTATATTAGATGCAGCAGCTGCAGCTGCAGCATGTGAAGCTGCACTCGTTGTCTCAGCAGCGGCCAAATCTTCAGCAACTAGTAGGTCATCAAGTAACACCCCTGCAGCAGAAACAATATCAGGCTCAAACTCCAGCCTTAGAATCAACTAAAACACTGGTTAGCACAAAATGCTAATCATCTTTAGGGAGATAAACTCTGGAGATGAGTTAAAATCTGCTAGGATAGAACATGAATGCACGGGTTCAAAAGTTCAACAATGAAAGCTCCCTAAGAAGGGGGGGGGGGGGGGGGAAAATCGGGGGATTACAAATTAGTGGGAAAATCTTAAAATAATTGCACTATAGGTGGAATCTTTTTTTTCTGTAAGTCTGACACATAGGAAAGGCTATTGCACCATACACACAAGAGACTTGCACCACCATGAGATTATTTTCCCACTGTCCACCTGAAATGAAATTTCCCAAAAAATAAAAAAGCAGGAACAAGAAGATAAGTTTTGTTATTTTTTAAAGTGGCTATTTTTATAAACTTTTCCCAAAATCCATTTTCAGAAACAATTCGTTAAACAAGTTTTTTTTCTCTTTTCAGGAAAATAAAAACAGCCAAACAAGCTCTAAATGACCTCAACTCTAGGGAATAAAGCAATAAATTTCAAATGAAGTTGAAACTTTCGTCACAAAAATGTTCACGAGTTTAGTGTTTTAAAAGGCGTGCGCTAAGCACGAGGTGCAGCCTTGCGCTTCGAACAGGTTGCTGAGGCGTAGCTTAGGCACTAAGGCGAGGGCTTTTTTCGAGGTGCAAGGCGTTCGCTTCATGGGCTTTACCTATTTTTCTACTCTAACTGTTGATTAAGCAAAGATTAACAATTTTTCTTGTGAAAAACTGAACTGTTAAAAAAATTCTATTCATATTTGCGAAGACGATGTTCCCTTCTTTTTCTGATATTTATACCGGATTAAATCAATGAATTATAACGAATCGACTGATTGATGGGTCTAGATCTTTTAGACTATGGTTAATGGATACCTTTAGATGCTAATTCTATTTAGAAATACTAATTCTATTTAGACTATGATTTCATCATACCATAAGAAATCTAAAATTCTTTTCCAATTTTAGAGTTATCAAGAACAAATCCCTTCCCCCTTTTTTTCATGCACATACCCATAGAGATTCAAAACTCTTCAATATAAAACGACCAAACATGGTCAAAAGGGAGCAAAAAGTGATAAAAGATTAAATATTATGTTTTATATCTTTTGTTGGATATTATATTTCTAGTTTTTAGAAGATTGAATGTTATATTTAAAGATTATCGGAAATGGTTATGATTTTTGAAATTATATACATTTGTTATGTTGAAAAACTTGCCTATTTTATAATTTTGTTTTTCTACTACTAATTGCACTTCATTTTGGTGAGGCGTGCGCCTCGGTACGCCTAGAGCCTTTTAAAACGCTGCACAGGTTGAATAATCCGGATAAAAGGGCAGTGGTGAAAACACTAATCCAGCCTTGAAAAGTGAATGCGGTGTGTTAATAGAATACAAAAATTGAAAATTAGTAATGACAAAGCTAGAAGCAGCCCGTGGAGCTCTTGGGTTGTAAGTTAGGAGACCATAGCGGCCAAAGGTACAGGCAGCAGCATCTTAAACCTTTGGGACAGAGGAATTGTGTGTAGAAAGGAAGCTCTGGTGAGAGACTTCTCAGTCTCTGGTCTTCCCTCTTTGGAGGGAAATGGTTTTGGAGGTTGTCTCACAGAGGAGGAAGCAAAGGTGAATTTGGAGTGGATTATTCTTATGATATGAAAAGGATTAGTTGGTCGCAAAAGGCAGGGATATATAGCAGAAAAAAGATGACAGGAACACTTGGTTCTTTTATCCACTCAAGTGACACAACTATGTAGGGGGAGATTTGAGCTACATGCTGAAGACCTATTCTAGGAGACCTCATTTTAATGGTCTAGATATTGATACTATTTTCGAACAGGATAGAGAGTGTCCAGAAGGGTAGTTCACTGAAGAGGAAGTCTTGGCAACTGTGAAAAACTGTAATGGGGATTAGTCAGGGACATCATGACTTTGTTTCATCATATTTGCGAGAAGTCCAAATGCTTCATTCATTGCCTTAATTCCCAAGACTTGAGAAGCAACACAATCGAAAGATTTCAATCTTATCAGCTTACTGGGGTTAGGAGTATTTAAAAATAGTTACCCAAAGTTCTTGCCTCGTAGTTGAGGAAGGTACTTGGCATTGTTATCAAATCGTGAATTGTTTTCTTAAAATAGAGAATCATAAATTGCATTCAATAGTGAATCATATGATTCACTTAATATCAAGGTTTCAAAAAGTAGTGTTATGTAATGGTTGTGGCCGTTACGTAATGATTGCGGTGGTAGGCGCAACCCATTATACCCGATTTTGCAGTGCAACGGAAATTTACACGTGCAATGGCCGTTTTGGTGTTACGTAACAGCTGTAGCGGTACCGTAACAGGCCGTTACACACCATTACACAATTCACAATATTCGGAACAGCTATCTTTCTAAAAGATTAAAATAAAATAAACTTACAAAATATACATTATACACATTTTGCAATATTCAATAGTTCAAAAATAATTTTTGTTTGTCTCAATTTTTATTCTTATAATCATTTCATTTAATAATTGTAAATATTTTTTATTTAGTTAGTTTACGTATTGATCCAAAATAATTTTGTAGACATTTAAAATCAATTATTCTTAAAAAAATAAATAAATAAAAATAAGAGGTACAATACGGATTTATGACTTATAAAGTCATTAACTATTAAAATAAAATATAAAAAACTCCTTTTATAGTGATTTAAAAATATAAAATATATTAGATCATACTTAAAAACTAACAAAAATTAATCAAAATCTATTTTAAACCCCAATAAATGTGATTTTAGAAAAAAAAAATATGCATATCAATAAGTTTTTTTTTTTCAAATTGTATGAAAAATAAAAATAAAAATAAAAATTCACTGATCCGGTTACCGCAACCATTACGCTACGGCTTTTACACTCTGCAACCTCAACAGCACCACCGCAACGACGGCTTTTTGAAACCTTGCTTAATATATAATTTTATATATGTATATATACATTAAAAATAGGAGAAACTACTGCACAGTGGGTTTTTTAAAAATTAATTACTAATTGATGAAAGAGTGTATGACTTCATAACTTATACATATAAAATTTATCATTAATTTGTAAATATTTTTTTAAATATACATACACTGACATGTAATTTTCCCTTAAAAATACTCATGCAGTGTTTAAAATAAAACTGATAACAATATAACTAAATTGTATATATGTATATAACAAACTTATGACTTTAATATTTCCTAAAAAGAGGCTAAAAAGACACCATATGCATTATGCAAACAAAAACAACTACAACAATGCAGTGAATAGCATAGTCTTTGTACAAAGGATGTGCCCCTACTAGCATTATGCAATATTTGTCAAAGAAAAATATTGAATTTTAAATGACATGAATTGTTAACAGGTTCATGATGTAGGACGAGTGCAGGGATTACTCTCCTACTAGTAGTGAGCCCAAAAATTAATATATAGTAGCGAAAAAACCTAGGCTTTGACTTTAATTGGTTTTTGTGGCTAGAAACACATTTGGTTCAGTTTTTAGAATTTTTTTCTGAACTTTTCTTTTAAAAATTAGAAACCAGTTTGATAAAAATAAATACCGAAAAATATATTTTTAAAATAAATAAATAAACAAGCCATATGAAAATAATGAGCGCTTTTTTATTTTTTTCAACAAACTAGTTTTTGAAATTTTTCAAAAAAGAGGTTATGAAAACTCAACCAAACATAATAGAGTTTTGAAGGGTTTGTACAGGGGGACAATAAAGGGGTAAGGATTTAGGGATAAAAGGATAGGATTTTTAACACTATTTGGTTATGTTTGATTCACAAGACTAATAGTGAAGTATTAATAATCCTATTAAATTAGTGTAGTATTCATTATCCAATTGGATTAATATCCATTGGATTAATAATTCCACCCCTACCCCATTACTAATAATCTTACAAATTTGTTGGATTAATTATCCATTAGATTAATAATCCTAAACCAAAATGTTAAAACAAACATAGGATAATTGGGCCCACGGATTAATAATCACAATCCCATACTCTAATCCACCCAATCAAACATGCCCTTTAGGTGTTATCCTAGGTGTTGTGAACAATACCCAAGAACATTAACTTTTTTCCAAATATCTACTGTTTATGCTATTGATTTATTTCCAAATATATCAAAAAAAAGCTAAAGCTTTCTACAACAGACAAATTGTTTGAGAACATAAAAGTTGTAAATTAAAAATTAAAACATCAATGGTGATTTAGGACAATGCAAAATAATAATAATAATAATAATAATATTATACAATTACAAATAAATGTGAAATTTTTTTAGAGTAATTCAAGAATATTATAATGAGCTGAAATGGTACAAGTTTTGTTATATTCACTTTAATCTTTCCTCCGCATTTTATATATATTAAGTATTGATGTATATGCAACTTCAATTACAAAAAACAATTGTAACGTTAAAGATTACACATTGTGTAATATTTTGCTCTTGAAAGCTATTTGTTTTTCTATAAACATATTTATTTTTCTACTTTTTAAGATATTAACAAATCTTACAACACATAATTCAAAAAAATAGAAAAAATGATACACGATTCATATCCTAATTTGACAACTATTATTCAACTCTACAAAATTAAATGCATCACATGAATTTATACAGATAATGGAGACTTTTTCACCAACTAGGACTAGAATTTCTACAAAAATAATTATTAAACTTTTGACTTCTAAACCAAATATGACCCATAAATAAAACAATAAATAAGTAACTTGATCCACAAATCGACCCATATCATACAACCCATGTCTAGAAAATTCTACAATTGTCAAATATACCCCCAACTCTTAAAACGTATAAAACATAACTAAATCCTAAAACTCTACTATGCAAGTCCCAAGTGGGCCCTAACTTGAAACCAAAGAGCTTCCTTTTTTTCCCAATGTCTTTAGATGTACATTTCTTTGAGCTATTTATGGCTTACATTAGTTCATGAAACAGTAAATAAGAATATTTCTCTAGATTTTTTAAATGAAAAAAAAGGGCATGCGCATAATAGGCAACCATTGCACCAATATAGAAGAGCAATATTGTCCATATTAAGGGTGATGCTAAAATGGAGGAAGACCAAACTAAACATGAGATAAGATATTAAGAGAAAACAAGGTCACTTAAGATTTAGCTTGTGCTTTAGTCTCTAATCGAGCAGAAAGGAAAATAGGAATCATATGGGCAATCTCAAATAGCTGAGCAATGTATTGAGTTGATCTATAACAAATGGGGGAGTTGATAGTTAAAGGAATACGTAAGCTTTGTGTCTATGTGATCGCATCAAGTTTTTTTTAGACTGTATGTCTAATCCTTCATTTCCACATTGATTTTTTAACCTGTCTACATGTGGCTTTTATCTCTCTTAAAATTTGTCTCCAGAACTTATGATTACAACTTGATTTGATTCACGATTTATAAAAGTAAGATTTTGATTCATGATTCAAATCTTAATTTTATTTAACAACTATGATCAAATATAACATTTTCCGAAAGAAGGATGAACCATCAATTGAGCATCATAGACGACAACTTCAAGCACTTTGAAAGGCTATATCACTTTACTACGTGCAAATCAGGATAGATGAATATTATGCTGGGACAATGTGAATTAGAACAGATCCACCATAGTATGCTGGTGTATCAGAATGCAAAACCATATCAGATGCTAGAAAGTACTTGCCAGCTTGAAATCTAAAACAAAATGCAACAAATTGAAGTTCCATCACATGTTCGTGTCTTACCACCACGCAGACCACCATAGATAAATATCAGGTCACCCACAGCGGCAGCGGCATGCCTACAGCGTCTCGTCAGCTCAACTTCAGCATCTCCACCAGCAGCATCAGCACTGTATCTGCCTGTCCTGGGAGTAGTAACAACAGATTTTGTATCGCACCAGACTCCGGCGGCAGTGTCCAGGACTATACACACAGAAACAAGAGATATGAGAGAAATTGATGCCATGAAGCTTTCAATAAAAAATCATAAATGAAACTGCTTCTAGTGGATAAAGTGGTGGTTACACTTGACAATGGCTTTTTCCTTTTTAAGATCAGAAGTGAAGAAGCTCTTGGTTAAATTCTTGATGAGGGTCCACTGTCTTTGGAAGAAGATAAATTTTTGTTAGAAGGTGGCACCCTGGTATGCAATTTTCAAAAAATTCTCTCCCGTTCCCATTTGGAATGCTCTTGGCAAGGAGACCTTAGGATAAATTGCTAAAACAAACGGGAGAGGAGGATCGACCCATACAGTATAATTCCGAAGCGACTGTTGGCAGCAGGCAGAGACACATTACCCAGCTGTTGATATGATGTATGTCCGTGATTTAGGCCACAATAAATAAAATATATTGATTTGAAGAGAGGTCAAATATGATGTGCCCTCATGTTTCTAGAAGTTAAAAATAGAAGATTCTTGAATCACTCATAAATTTGGTTTCACTCAATGACAATGAGAAACGTGTCAGTTATTCCTTTGGAGCCCCCATCTGCATTTCTTGAGAAGGGTAGTTCCAATATTGATTGTATCAATAGGCTTTTCTCTTTAAATGTGTTAGTCTTTGTATATACTATCCCCGTACATGAACTTTCTTCTTTTACCCTTCTAAATGAAGTATTATTCATCAAGAATATGTTAACCAGTTTCCTGCTCAAGGGAAAATGCATGCCTTTTTTTATTAGTATAACTAGCGGCTTGCACACTCTAGAAAAAGTAATAGTATAAGAATAATGAGAACGAGGAATGCACACATAGTACATGTTGCTCAAGTGGCAAGGGCTTTCTTTGCCAAGCCCATGATCTATGAAGCACGGGTACTCCACCTCTTAATATAATTTTTACAAAAATTCAACTATAGGGGTATTTTGGGAAAGCCAAAAATATGAGACATTTTGTGTCAAAACCATCTCAAGGCTTCACATATATAGTAGTATAAAATAATATTATTATATGAGGCACCTCTTTGCCAAGCCCATGATCTTGGTTTCAAGTCACGCCCTCCTCTTAATATAATTTTTACAAAAATTCAACTATAGGGGTATTTTGGGAAAGCCAAAAATATGAGACATTTTGTGTCAAAACCATCTCAAGGCTTCACATATATAGTAGTATAAAATAATATTATTATATGAGGCACCAAGGGGGGTTCACAACCCATATACAAAGGAGTCTTACCCGCCTGGGTTTGAAAACATCAAAGATTGACTGAAAAATCAAAAGGGGGATGATTTACAAATAAGCTTTCACTTGTTTGACAAGTCAATACAAACAACGTTTCAATTATCCATCAAACAATATTGTGGTGGCAGGTTTTGCGTAACCAGTAACGTCAAAGGTAAATGTTCTAGCATCCAACCTAAATGGTTTCATGAATAGATTATTTGTTTAGATTATCTTATAGCTTATACCGGGTGGCATCCCTTCGGTATCTTTTCTTCTAATAAAATCTTATCGAAGGGAAAAAAAAAAAGGGGAGTAAATGCCTAAACATAAGATTACTAAGCCTAATATCATCCTTCACTATGCTTTTGAATTGCAAGACAACTTTCCCAGGATATATAAGTTGTCTCATAATAATCAACAGCCCACCTACGACCCAAATGACCAATCTATATCTCAGCCAGAAAATTCAAGCTCACATCCATAAGTGAAAATTCCAATAGTTCAGCAACAAATCCAGTATGTAATGATTTCTCTGCACAATCATATGTAGAGGAGGTCAACTGAATCTATAAACCAAATATTCTAGCCAACCTTCTGATCAGTTATCATATCATTGAGTGGCAAATAAACTGTATAAAGCATGAGGGTTGCACTTGATTATGTGACAGATTTTCTCCAAATAATGTGTATATAGTAACCAATTTACTGCCATTTGCTACATTCTCGTCAGAAACCAATCAGCCTCACCCATCAAAGCATATAAGAGTTCACTTGCAGAACCTTAATTCCATTAGATAATACCCACAGCAAAAGCTCAATCTCAGTGCAAGTATACGAGCAAATATAAGGAACAAATGAACGTTGTGCATCGAGTAGCTTTCTGTGTTCTTGGTTACCACAATTAGGTAGGCACTCCATCTTTGATTTTCAAAGGTAAACTCTTGTGTACTTAAATAAAGATCCTTGTGATTTAAAAACTGTCATATAAAAGTGTAGCTTTTTTACACTACCGATGTCAACATATTTGCCAGGTTTCAAGGAACATACCTGCAACACTTGATGAATCCTCCACCATGCGTCCACCACCAAGTGCACCTCCAGAAACATGGAGCCGCGCATTAACAAAAACCTACAGGAGTGGAGCACATGTGAAAGATTGGTTTTCCAGTCACATGAAAGAAGTCGATAGTGGTTTTCTTTTTTCTTTTTTTCTTTTTTTTTTTTTACATAAAAGAAAAACTCACTGCAGCATGTTGATATCTAGGAGATGGTGAGACACCAGGAGCAATTGCCCATTCCCACCGACCATCTCTATGTTTCGCAAGTCCATATGCACTTGCCAGTGGCTGCAAAAATATTCAAAGAGGACGTAAAAGGTTAAGCATTAACAACAATGCAAGTGATTTATCTTGATATCATTAGAGAGAAGAAATCATATAGATAAAATTGAAAGATAATATTCATAGCAGATTATAACAGTATGTTCAGAGCAAACATACTGCCATAAAACTCCACCAAACAACACACACACATGCACAACTACACATATATGCATGTATTAGACATCATCTTCCAAAAAGTCAAGTCAACATGTAAAAAAATGGACAAAACTTAACTCCTAAAAGAAAAAACAAATTGAAAAACAGAATAAAAACCCCAACAGATACAAGCCCAAGAACCCAAATAGAGGAAGTGATGACTGATGGGCGATGACCTTGCACACTCAAGATATGGAACCCTCTCTTGGCTAAAAGTTTCACACACCATCACCCAATCTGTTGGTGGCATGGAGTCTAATGGGCTAGACACACTCCAATTCAATTTCAGCAACTGTTTCATGTCAACCTTAACCAAATATTACCTGATCTCGACATGGAAATAATGTGTTAGACCCATTCAATTCAATATCAACTATAACATTTTTCATATTTACATTAACCAAATTTTAACTAATCTTAACCATGAAGAAAATGTTAAGTTTCACAAATGGTAGAACGTGGGAGTAACTTAGACAACAGTCTCTTCCCACAGCCACCCCAAGGATAAACTGTCTCACGTGCATTCAACTTGACAATCCATCCCAATTAGTAGGGCATGCATATTAAACCAGAACTGTACCAATTTTTTTTCTTATATATAGCTGCATGGCCCAAAATGAAAGCTCCTGAAAGCCAAATAACTGAGACACCATCAAGTAGACACAGAACAATGCCAAATTAACCATTCATAGACAAACTAAAATGAAAATTTTGAACACTCCAGGTTCTACTCCTTGAAAGGAACCAAAATACAAGAGAATACAGATCTTTCAACGAGTGCTACTTAAGCGGAGAAAACATATAAAGGCAAAAAGTTCATCAATGCCCTGGAAAAAGTAAACCGTTTCAAAATGGCAATAAGCTAGCTTAAGTACATGGCTTATAATATCTCAATACTTCGAATCCATCAAGCATGCAAAGAATACATTAACTTACCACACTATTAGCATCCCTCCCTCCACAGAGCAGAAGAAGACCATCAGAGCGTGCACTTGCTGTTGCATACCTACTCAAAGTGAGAGAAGTAAATGATAGATCAACTAGAGAAGTCCTCAATAAAGTATACCATCAATGGAAACAAAATAAAGAACATTAAATAAAATATTCTAACAACATTCAACACCAACTTCAAAATGAAGTCATACTTTCACGTGAGCAGTGGTACTTTCACGTGCCTACCAACATATACACCACACAAGTGCATAATGAGTGTTGAGTAATCATGATTTAAAACCACCAAAGATCATGAGAACGCTATTCAAATGCAGAACAAGAATCTGGACTAGTAAGTAATTAAAACCATTAGAGAACTCACAACCACAGGAACAACACATATTTAGATGCACATAATACCCATACGTATGACACATTATCAAATTCAAGCAACTAGTGGTGATTAAGTCTCACTTCAAGCTGTATCATGCATCTTTCAAACATGACGGACACATGAACAAACACATTTATATGCACATAATACTTATATGTATGATACATTACAAGCAACTAGCTATGGTGATTGAATCTCAGTTCAAGCTGTATCTTGTCTCTTTTGAACACGACAGGACCGAAATATTATCAATGCAAGTGCTCTTTTAGCCTTCTTCATTCAATCTGGTATGATGAGCTTCCCCCAACACACCCACAATCCCACTAATTAACTTTCAAACAAGCTTTAACTTCTAAACTGCTCCATCACACAGACCAAACTAAGTATATATAATAAAGCATAGGGCTGCAAAAATCTCAAAGAACATGCCAGCCAACAACCCCCATGTGCCATGTAGATCACAGTAAGGGGCAATCATATACTTTACAGTCTGAAGGCAGAAAACCAAGAGAAAAATTGAATTGTGCATTGCAGACGAATATGTTCCAAGGAAATTAACAAAAGGTTCAATTACAAAAAAAAATTCCAAATCTTTTTGGAAATACAACTGACCAAGAAGCAAAATATAAAATTTTGGAATTTGTTGAATTGGAATGCAATTAGAAATTTTCATGATTTAGGAGGGAAGAGTTGGTTGGTTCGTTCTTTTTTCTTTTTCTTTTTTTCCATGTAAGGGGAGTCTAAAGGATTATCACTGTATAAAGCAGGGTTAGCAAAAACTCGGGAAAAAATCAAGCAGTGTTGGCTAACTCTGGTAATGCTAATTTCCCATAACAAAGATGGAACTCGTAAGCTCCCCCAAAAATGTTGTTCTTTAACATGAATGATCGACACGGCATTGACTAATTGCCCCTGGGCAGTGGGCAGTTAGACTGTTAGGTGGACTAATTAACCTTTTTTATTTTCTCAGAATTCCTTAGCCTTGTCATTTCTTTTGCTTATAAATCATATGTCACCACAGCCTTGCCTCCCATTTTTTCTGCCTTAATTAATATCTCTTTTATTTTTTAAACAAAATCCCTAGAAGAAAAACTACATAGTAGAACAAACAAGCAGACAAAAATTTAATATTTTAGAGAGAGAGAGAGAATTAAACACATCTGTTTCTTTATATGTTGATGATTGGTAAGAATTGAATTGAAATTCCATTTGGTGTTTTAACTCCACGGAGAAAGAAACCTCAATGTTGCTTGAGAAAAGGAGGCAAGAAACCCCAACAACAGCCTCCAATCCATAAATGTGTGCTTTAAATCTTCCTAGACATATTTTCTTCCACTTCGCAGTTTGGAAAAGTGTTTGTGGAATGTGCAGCTTGCAAAGAGGGAGAAAGCTCACTAAATGTCTAACTTTGTGCCTAAATATTTCCAAATAATAGTAATTTGAGATAATACAAAAAATCATAACAAAATAGCATGCTAGTACCTTTTCAAAAACTGCCAATCTATATTATATTTGAACAACTAAAATATTCACATTGTGTGTATGACTAATAACAACCTGGTGTTGAGCACAGAGGGGAAAGAAAAGAGAAAAGAAAAGAAAAATGGGCACACAATCACCACAGCCTAAACTCTCAACTTATCATTCATCAAAAGCTGCCTAACGTTATTTATATCCCAGTTAAATAATACCAATAATAAAAATAGGAAACTACCACCAAAACATTTATTGGACCAAAAAGATTTATTCCAACAAATTGGATCAGGGGCTTTACTTGAGGCTTCCAAAGGGGTAATTGCACTCCAACCATCCATGGGATGAGCCATCAACCCCAACTATCTCAAGATTCTTCATCAACATAAAACCTTTAATTATCCTAGGTTCCCACAACGTGGAAATTGTGAATATATGCACAATGACTACAACCTTAATTGGAAAAAGTTGTGAAGCGTAGTCCCACACTGTCTGCATACAAAGGGGTGTACAATGTACATGAGGGCACTCTCCCTACATGCTAGGTGAGAAGGGTATGAAGCGAAGTCCCACGGAAGAGTATGAAGCGAAATCCCACATCACCTAAGTACAAAGGGAATGTGCAATTTATAACTGTATGGGCACCCTTATTTCACAAGTTAGTTTTTGAAGTTTGAGTTCTACCCTAAGTCACCTAATTCATGTAGGTAGCAGCACAATCACTCGCTAATTTGCAAGTTCGCAAATTGGGAACGAAAATTAGTCAAATCCTTGAATTTATTGGGTCAAATTTGCGAATTACAAACGGAATCTATTTTAACCAACCATTTGTCACCATGTGTGAAGTTTGTAGTAAGTCCAGTTGCACCAAGGCACTGCCACACCTGAAAGAAGTTTCTCATGCACAAATTGCTGCTGCCTGGGATTGAACATCGTACCTAATGTAAGGAAAAATTTCTTACCACTAGGCTAACTAGATTTTCAATGACAAAGGTTGTGCTTGTTTTTATTTATTATAAGTGAAACATAGATTAACTGTATTTCAATACTGTTTTAGAAAATATTGATCACTTAACATATATATAAATTTACACTTATATTATGCAAATAGACGCTCTGGAGGTACTCTTGCTCTTAAAATATTTTTTAAAAAGATGCACTGGGTCTCACTCTCACTCTCACTCTCAAATTTGCTCCACGAAATGGTGACTCAAGATCATGTCAAAGGACGTCAGTAATGATATTAAAGCATAAGATTGTCAATGCAATACACAAAAATGTGCATAATTTAATTTCACTTTTATTTTATTTTAGTTATTGTAAGAAAAAAGTGTACAATCATGATAATGAGATTATCAAACATGCGTAAGAAATGTGAAAACATACATTAAAACACGAAATAATGTGATGGAAAAAGGAGGAAACATAAGATTACACGCATAAAAAAGGACACAAGTAGAAATTTACATGCATGGAGGTGGACCTTCTCCTTCCGGTTCCAATTTCCGCCATTCATATGGCTTGGCAGCGGTGTCCAGGGCCCATACATCAGCCAAAGGTCGTTTTCCTGTAATCATGCATCAAATAATTGCTTAAGACCACAAAACGAAAAACATACTTTAGCACACAAGATGAAGCAGCTACGCAAGAAACTCACCATCGTTTCCACCAATTGCCATAAGATATCTTTGCCCTACTAGAGCCATAACATGTCCATACCGTGGCCCTGGTCCAGGGCCTTGGACCACAACCCTACACAGATGTTGACAATGAATTAATGGATATACAACAAAATGCATACTTGTACATGCATACATGTGTGAGAATACATGTGTACCGAGGTGTTTCATATAAAAAGCCAATGAAAAGCTTCACGAATCTAACCTATGCCATCGTGGGCGTTGCTGTGTGAGATCAAGAACATGAAGGTCCTCAGCAGACAAACCAGCTGGACCAATTCCACCCTGTTGGATTGAAAGATTCAGCGAATAATTATTTACTAACAAATTGACAGAGAAAAAAGGTTAGTCCAAGCATTAAAAGGACAATATTTATCTGCCTTGACCTGAATAACCACCATAGTACCCACAGCAGTTGCCACATGTGCTGCCCTTGGTGTGGGAGGTTCTCCAAAGGGTGTAATCCTACAGAGCAAGTTGATTAAAGCATAGTAGAAGTGAGCATGTGATAAAAAGACGTTATCCCAAAAGTATTGTTGTGCTAATAAATGATAATTATTTTGGGCATACCTAGACCATTTATTTGTCAACACATCATAGCAGTGCACATCAGCGGTGGCCCCCGCTAACCCTGCAATCCAGTGTAACATTAAGAATCACAAAGGTTTAAAGCAGAAAACATTTCCATTTAAAAAATCCAGAGAGATTCTAATGTAAAATTAACAGCACCATTCTTCGGTGGTAAAACCACTATGTGCATTTACAGGCCAAAAGTTAGGTATGTACCCAATCTAACCCCTTCCAAAGATCCATTAATGGGTACTAATTGGGTGACGTCGTTTTTATTTAGTTATTTATTTATTTATTTTTCATTTTATAGAGATTCATGCACACCAGTTGGCAAAATATTAGAGGACATAAGCACCTAAATTTGGTTTTGGGTCTCTTAATTAGTGGACTTCCATCACTGGATTCAATACAAAATTAATTATGTATGCAATGATGAGGATTGGATCGTTGAGTTTAGGTCAGATGTAAAATTCATTGTTCAAATAAATAACAGTCTTTCATGCCATATGAACAAAACCAGTAAATGAAGTAACTTCACCCGCTAGGGTTGAACTAGATGGAGGTTTAAATGCAGCTTTGAATCAGTAGTACTTGAACATATATAAAAGGGAACAAAACAACCAACACACTTCAACCTCAAGGTTAACAAAGATTGCAGTTAAGTTGATTCAGAACTTAAAACATGCTATAAACCCATAAAAATTGCACTAGAATTTACTTGAGCTTAAGCAAATCAAGGGTTGTATACAGCGAAAATGAACACACTCGGAGAGCAAAAAAGTAGAAGAACAAATTGGAGAAATATTAAAGCAAACAAACACATACTTATTCCAGCACTTCCAGCTGAGGTTGGAGTTCCTGAAGCTGCAGAATTGCCCTCAAGAGCTGTAGCGCCACCGAAGAGAATCAGCCGTGGCCCAATGTAACCCGGCGACCCTTCCTCCCCAACTGCAGAGACAGCTGTCAAGGTGTGCCCACAGCGAGGCCCCGGTCCATCCTCCTTCTTCTCTAGGATAGCGTTCACCACCGAATACGTGGGCGCAGTCCTCGGCCCGGCCACAGGGCTCTGCGGCTGCGGCTGCGGCTGAGGCTGTTGCGTCAGTTGAGGAGGCGGAGATCCAGAATCCGCCTCCGGAGACTGCTCAACCTGTTCTACGGACACCGGCGCGGTGGAATTGGAGACAGCGGGATCGTGATCGGGCTCGGACACCATTGAGGAATCAACATCCATAGCTGGAACCCTTCTTGTATTCCGTTGTTAGACTCGAGATCGGAACTGGAATTCTCACGGATTCGCATTTCTGATCAACATATTGGAATTCGAATTCAAAACCCTCGAATTAACGCCGAGAAATTCGATGGCTGTAATTGAAACCCTAGCTCAGATCATTCTGTAAATTTTCCCGAGAAAATTAAACAAGAGAGGGAAAGATTCTTGATGAGGTAGGTTTAAATGATGCGCTGTCTGTGTAAGCGGGTTGATGAATAGAGAAACGGAACGGAGGTGGAGAAAATCTCAAAGACAGAAGAGACCACCACCCAAGTGGTGTTGTTGTTACCAATCTCTCTCTCTCTCTCTCTCTTCGAATCCTTCACTTTCTCACTAAATCGACGATTTCTCTCTCCAAAGTTTCTCTCTCTAGGTGAATATTACGAGTGTTAGAAAGTTGTTATTTTAGTAAATTATTTTAATTTTTAGTTATTTCAGTAAGTTTTGATTTGAAAAGTTAGTTGATTTTTTATTTTTTTAAATCTAGACTAAAAAGTTTAGTTTGAAAAGAATTTTTTAAATTTTTTTATGAGAGAAAGGTGTAATGATTATAAGTTGAATGTAATGTTTTGTTTGTTATGATTAAAATAGTTCATTTTAAACCATCCTCTCAAACGGTGCCTAAGTTAAAATTTATATATTTAAGAAGATGATTTGATTTTTTTATAATTAAATATGATATTTGTGAAAAAATAAATAAAATAATTATAAATTTAATATAATATTTTATTTTATTATCTATTTTAATTTATTTATTTATTTATTTTATAAATTTAGCCTAAAAAGCTAAAATATCACCTCCGCTGGGTGCTGTGTTGTGTTGTGTGTATAGTAGGAGATTGGTTGTATATCTATATCTATATGGTAGGTATGTACGGATAGAGTCCAAGTCCGACGAGGAAAGGAATTATTATGATGCGTTGTGTTGTTTGTGATGTGAGAGAGACGGCGCAAACCACAACTATATGAATCAGTGAGGTTTTCAGAGAGAGAGAGAGGGAGGGGTTGACCGGATTAACCGGGGACAAGTTTCAACTATTAACGGTGATCGCCGGTTCCTATTTCTACGGACTCTTGGCTTTTGTTTTTTTCCCCGTAGATGAGGAAAGTACGTGATACAGAATCGCGTGATCACAAACGTCTATTACACGCGCCAAATGAAATGTATAATAAATACAAAAACAAATTTAAAAAAATATATAAAGTGTTTGGCTTAAAAGGATTTTTTAGAGCTTTTTGTTTTGGAAAAATTAGTAAAACATCCCTTTCCAACTCTGTGTAGTAGAAGAGGTCCAAAACAAAAATTTATTACCTAAGGTCCCTTTTATCTAATCATACTAGAGAAATTTCTCTGTAAAAATTAAAATTTCTTTGTGTCGGGACTGAAATTTCTCTGAGTTAGAAAAAATTTCTCTGAATCAAATTTTCTCTATAAAAATGTTGAGGTATCTTAATTATTCTGAAAATATTGTATGTTATTTATCTTATAAAATTTTAATATCAGAGATTTTTAAAAAAAATCCTTTTTGTTTTTCGGAGTTACTCTCTTGAGTAAATTTTTTATGATGTTTGTTTAGTGTTTTATAATCACGTTTCGAAAGCTTTGCGGAGAGCTTTGTCTCAGCTGCTTTCGCAGCCGCGCTTTTCATAATTTTTTTTTGAAAATTTTGCCTGACGGGGACGTCCAGCCGGTTGACTGAAATAGTGATTTTTTTAATTTTTTTTTTTTTTTTTTTTTGCAATTGATATGTTAATTTTTATATAATCGAAAAAAATATTTTCTGAAATTTTTAAATTTTTTTATATGTTTTAAAATAATTTTGAGTTGTATGTTTAGTAATGAGTTGTAAATTTTTGTATCAAATATCAAATGTTACATCAACAATTCCCCACTCAAATCAAAACTCTTTTTAAAACTATTTTCAAAATTTTTTACCAAACAAATTTTCTACACTCAAATCATAATTTCAATCCCCACAAACTCAAAATACAACTCATACTCTCAAATCATAATTACAAAACACAACCAAACGCAGGCTTAATTTTTAGATATACTTTTCGCTTGGCATGCGAGTGTTCTAGCCAAAAAATCAAAAAATTACTAACTTATACCAAAAAGTCAAATATTTCATTTTCTTTCTACTTTTTGCACATCTTTTTATAAAAAATTAAAAAGTCATTCCAAACATATTAGTTTGTTTTATTTCGTATTTTAGTCAAAAAATTACTAAAATAGCATATTCCGAAACAAGAGGAACTCAAAAACTAAAATATTAGTAAAAAAAAATTACTAAAAACAAATGCGTGCTTTTTTTAATTTTAAAAACAATCACAAATATTTTTTAAAATTTTTAGGTGTATATAAATTAAACGTATTTTAAAAAGTAAAAAATAAAAATCGAAACAGTCCACAAAAATAATCAAAATGTTCCACGTATATTTCTGAACATGAATTCACTAACAATGCAAAACTATATGCTGTTAAATAATAATCACACTACTAAGCTTCCTCGAAGCAGCTCTTTCACAAATCAAATTAATAAATTCATCTTAACAGCGAACACACATCTACTTACAACAATCGTAAGTTTGAATCCTTCCCGTTGCATTCTGAACCAATACTTTTTGAGAAGTTAGTAAAAAATTAATTTTTTAGTTTTTTTTTAGGGAAAATTGATGATTCTCTATAAATAAATCAATCAATGGGAATAAAAATTAATGCGAAAAAATTAAATCAAAAGGTAATACAAGAATTTTACGTGGTTCCCTCAATGTAAGGTACGTCCACGGGATCGAAATCCGATTCCACTATCAACCAAATAAGTTTTCAAACGATTACAAACGAGACATCAATGGTCTCACAAAACCACCCTTAGGTGAATTCCAAATAATCACAAATAAATAAGAGGAAAGACCTCACTAAATAGATGAACCAAAATCTTCATAACCAGAATTGAAGAAGATCCAAAATAATGACCCAAAATAGAACCGAAAGCCAAACCAAACGAAGTAGAACTGACCCAAACGTTTGATTCCACCGAATTGCTTTTTAATCTCAATCAGCTACAGCACATTATCTCACCGAGAAGAATTAATTGGCAGCCACTTCCATGCCTCGAATGGACATAACAATATATATATATATATATATATTGTTGATTTTTGGACTATTAATCAAAACCCTAATTGTATCCAAATTAAATTGGGTCTTCACAAGTATAATATATAAAAATATATTATACCTAAACCAAGTCAAATTAAAATTCTTTAACAAACTAATTGGGTCCCGCACTCCAATAAGGAGGTATACCCAACAATTCTCCCCCTACCGACTTAGATGGAGACATAAACCATACCCATCAAAATTCGACACTTTATATGTTTGTCTCTCAACAAAGTCTTTGTCAACATATCTGAAATATTATCATCTGTGTGAACCTTTTCGAGTTGTAACAATTTCGAATCTAACACATCATGAATCCAATAGTATCTCACATCAATGTGGTTCGATCTCGAATAAAAAGTAGAATTTTTACTCAGGTGAATAGCACTTTGACTATCACAATAAAGCACGTACTTTTTTTGTTTTAAACCCAACTCTTGTAAAAATTTCTTCAACCATAACTCTTCTTTGCAAACTTATGTAATAGCAATAAATTCAGCTTCGGTAGTTAAGAGAGCAACACATTTTTGTAATTTAGATTGCCATGCCACAACTCCCCCTACAAAAGTCATCAAATACCCCGAAATAGATTTCCTAGAATCAATATCATTGGCCATGTCAGAATCTGTGAACCCATCAAGTATCAGTTTACCATCCCCAAAACACAAATACACCTTCGAAGTCCCTCGAAAATATCTTAAAATCCATTTTACCGCTGCCCAATGTTCTTTACCCGGATTAAAGAGAAAACGACTCACCACACCAACTGCGTGAGCAATATCCGGTCTTGTACAAACCATGGCGTACATCAAAGAACCAACTGCTAAAGCATAAGGAACTTTCAGCATCTCTTCCTTGTCTTTCTCACTTGTAGGACATTGATTCGAACTAAGCTTAAAGTGACCCGCAAGTGGACAACCAACCGGCTTTGCTTTATTCATGTTGAACCTCTCAAGAACTTTCTCAATGTAGCTTTCTTGAGACAACAAAATCAGTCCCTCTTTGCGATTACGAACAATTTTCATACCAAGTACTTGCTTTGCCGATCCCAAATCTTTCATAGCAAAAGACTTGCTCAACTCCAATTTCAACCTGTTTATCATGGTAGAATCTTGACCCACAATTAACATGTCATCAACATAAAGCAAAAAGAATAATAAATTTGCCATCCGAGAAATTTTTCACAAACACACAATGATCCGAAGTGGTTTTAGAAAAACCATTATTCATCATGAAAGAATCAAATTTTTTGTACCATTGCCGCGGGGCTTGCTTGAGACCATACAAACTTTTCTTCAATTTGCAAACAAATTTCTCTTTCCTCTTTTCCACAAAACCTTCCGGTTGCTCCATGTAAATTTCTTCTTCAAGATCACCATGAAGAAATGCGGTCTTCACATCAAGTTGCTCAACTTCAAGGTTTATACTTGCAGCCATGCCAAGTACAATCCGAATAGAAGACATCTTCACAACTGATGAGAAAATTTCATCAAGATCAATACCTTTCTTTTGCCTAAAGCCTTTTATAACAAGACATGCTTTGTATCTCAGATTCTTGCCATCATTCTTTAATTTGAAAACCCACTTATTTTTCAGAATTTTCCTCTCTTTAGGAAACTTCACTAAATCATAAGTTTAGTTTTCAAGCAAGGAATTCATTTCTTCGTCCGTGGCCTTTTTCCAATCACCTTTCTTTGCATACTCAATTGCTTCTTGGTAGCTCTCAGGCTCCCATTGATCGGAAATCAACACAAATTCATTGGGAGGATACTTTCTTGAAAGTTGTCGGTCCCTTGTAGATTTCCTCAACTCAAGTTGTGGTGGCGATTCTTGAGTTGGATGCTTTTCCTCAATTTCTGGTTCAACTTCATTAGGATTAGCATCATCCTCCACATCTTCAATAGGTGGCTAAATATCTCCCCCATTTTCATTATCAACTGAAGACGAAGGAGCTGGATCCATGTCAATGAGATCACTAGTTTTTTGCTCCGGT